TTCATCTCAGTTATAATGGAGGGGGGCAGATAAACTGAGGGACTTGAACTTGGAAAGGACATCGCCCCTCTTCAGAGCACACATAACCATAGTGTAGACGAAGCAGCCCCACCCATGACTTCTAAAGGTTCATGTTCTTTACTGCCTCGTGGTTTGGGACATTGTCCTCATCTTTATACCACAAAGTGATTATCACAGGACTAAGAGCAAGTCAGGCATCCACCAGGAGGTATAAACAAACAAACCCTCAAATTATTAATTGGAGGAAAATTACATCCCTACCAAAAGAATGAGGCTAGGAGGGATGACATTTATCTGGGGCAGCTCAAGTGCAGGACCATTAGATGCAGGGAGAGGTCTGGACGACTTATCATGGTCCCTTCCAGGCCTGTGATTTTAAAAGAGGCAGATAAATATCCCATGGGGCCCTGTTGCTTTTTAAATAGACAACTTGCTTCTGCTCCAGAAGAGCTGTGTGGGTCTAATACATTGACTCTATCTGTAGGTAGCCTCCCATCTACAGATCTCCAGGTGCCCTGCCAACCATGTCTGTGGCACCATTCCATTTGAGTGGATGGAAACACTGAGGCATGGAACTGGGAAGAGAGATCTCCAGGGTCACACTGTGCATTATCTGAGAAGATCTGAAAATAGACGCCATGTGCTTCTAACTCTTCGCCAACTGAATTGGGGGTCTGGTCTTCTGATACTACTCTCTCCTTCCAAGTCTCTGATTTAAAAAAAAATGATTTGTTGTCATTTAGAAAATAAATATTGGACAGAGAATGTTTGAAGTTGGGGTGATTATTTGTTTTGGTGGGATGTGGCCAAATCAAACAAAAAGCAACTTGATTTCAAGTCTCCATTCTCCTGATTCTGCGATGGAGCCCAAACTCCAAAATGCCGAGCCTTGTGTTCTAAGCCCAGGCTGTGCAATCATGACTTTCCTTCAGACCTCCACAAAACCCCATCTCTCCAGGAACATGCACGCCTCTCAGCCCTTAGACTGAACAGCTAGGAAGCCAATTACCCTCCAGGTACAAGATGAGAAGCAAGGCCTGGGCAGAGAGATCACCTGTCTGCAAATTAAAGCCTTTCACGGGAACTCCATGATTCCCCTGTCTCTAGGGCGAGTCTCAGTCTCTGAGAGCTTCAATTCAATAGGTGGAACGCTGTGAAATTTGGAAGCAAATAAGTCAGTGCCTGAAGGATGTCTGAGCCTCTTGGAGGTTGTTATGTCAATATGATGTGCTTAATGCATTCCTGCCACTTTATCATGGGGTAATTCTGAACACTGGAGGCCCTCACCTTTACCTTATCCCTGTCTTCATCCTTCTGTCCCCAATCTGGTCATCAGTGTGTTACAGAATTTCTCTTTTGTCCCCAACTTTCAAATAGGTGAGACTAGACCAGCAACACCATGACTAAGAGCAAAGTAACCAGAACTATGTCAACAAGGGAGAGGCTCACATCTCCCAAAATAAGAGAAAATTGAAGACAAGGGCTTTTGCTTAGACATGTAAGGGCAGTGACCTCTGTCCCATTGTTCTGACACCAATTATGGCTCCACTCCTCAGGCACAGATTCACCTTCCGTTGCAGAGTCATGGGGGTGGGAATCCTAGAGGAGGGCAGGACCTTGACCAAGGCCTCATGCCTTTGAGCTCTGCTGTTATTCTCCCTGTGCCCCTCTTGGTATTTAACTGTGACTATAATCACATACATATATACAAACTTCCATTACTAGATTGACTATACTGTCTGAGTCTGGGATGTTAGTCATATAGTTGGTAAAACCAAAAGCAGTAGTTTCTGCTGTGGTTTCTCAAGAAATGTATGTGAAGCAATTTGTATAATCTAAGGGAGCACGTGGGTTGGATATGGGTTCCATCAGGCGGCTGAGCTCTCCACCTTGTGGTTACACCATAAATATGCATAAGGAGGGCCCGCCCTATGTGAAAATCATAGGTTCCATGTGGAACTGGATAAAGATTTAGGAATGTGCTGTGCATGTGGCCTGCATAACCAAGCTGTGTTTTGCCAGGAGGATGCTCATAGTCATCCAAAAACAAGTTGACTCGCTCATTGGCAACTTTAAGAATACCTATTGGATAGAGAAAAACCAAGAGGAGCCTGCTCACTGGCAGGGGATGCTGGAAAAGAATTCCTTAGTCTTCCTCACTACCTAGCAGCAAGAAGAAAGTTATTTCCCGGTAGGCTCAGATCTTGCCTTGCCCAGCTTGGGTCCAAATTGCAAATCATATTTTGCAGGGAAATAGCACGGTCATCCCCTGTCACCTTGAGTGCTCGCTAATCTTGTTTTTCTCTGATTTCCCCAATTCCCTGGTCTTTGATATGCTGCATTGGTGTCGACAGTGACCAGGGAATTAAAAATTTAGTTTCCAAATTTCTGCCCCAAACTTCCCAATCCCCTCTTCCCTATCTGTGTGCTGGGAAGGCAATTGCCAACAGTTTCCTTCACCCTAGAGCTGAGCAGCCTGCTGCCTTCCTCCCTGCTCTGCTTTTTCCTTAGGTCCTGCTGTCTGAATTTCACTTTCAAGCCCACCACTTAGCACCAGTTAGCTTGGCAATGTGCCCAGCATCTAGAGGCCACAAAGAGAAACTCAGTGGTAGTACCAGCGTGGAGGAAACCTCCCCACACTGCCCCCAGGTCCCCTCCTCACTCCGCCTCCCCCCTCATGGCATCAAATCAAACTGTGGCAGACTTGACAAATCTATTTGGCACAGTTTACTCAACTATTTCAACCCCAACAGGCTGGAGAGCCGCACGGACGCACCACGAGCGGTACAGAATCTGCACATTAAACACAGATATCTGGGGGACACCCACTAATGAAGGGGCAGCAGAGAACACCCTTGCAGGGTAGGATGGGGAAGGCCTGCTGGCTGCCTACCACATGAGTAGTGTGGGGGGGGGCTTGGGGAGCAGGGCAATGCTTACTTGGCCAGCTTTCCATTTTCCTGCCTGAGTACCAGGAGGATGGATTTCTAATGGGGAAAGAAAGGGCTTTTCCTCTGTCCCAGCTCCCTTTATTTGGGCAAGACTGATTCTCTAAAAACAAAAACAAAAACCCTGTTTCTTGTTGGCTCCTGGGGAGAGAAATTTAGCCAAGAGTGGGCAGAGCAGGCAAAAGAGAATGCATTCAATATGAAAGTTGAGGAGGATGATTCTGAAGAGCAGAAAGCTAAATTCAATTCTCAGGAATATCTTCCCTGCAGAATGAGGACCAGGGATAAAGCCAGGGAGGACAGCATTCTATCAAAATGTGCAGTGCTAAGGTATTTCCAAAAGAAGATTTCCTACAAATGGTGTTTTAAATAGCATCCCGGTCCATCTGTGTGCTTTTAAAATCAGCTTATGCTACAGTATCCCTCTGGCCAGGGCTGCTTAGTCATTGAGCCTGGACAGGGAGACAGTCAGGTGAGCCCATTCTTCTCCCTCAGGACCCACCCCTACCCAGCTGCTGGCCCTTGCTTGCTAGCCGAGCTTCTGAGTTCCATGTTTCTTATTGAAAAGGCAGATGAAGAGAGAAAGGGCATGAGTGGAAAAGGAGTGGGTGGACTCAGTATGTGGACTCAGCCCAGAGCTCCCAGCACCCAATGCGGATTTAGCTTGCCATTCCCAACTGTTGTGTGGCAACTCCTCCTGAAGCCAAGTCAACCGGAAACCAGACCTGCCCACAGGTCACAGTGGGAATGTCTTTTCATCGCTAAGTACCTCACTTTCCTTACTGGGGCAATGGGGAGTGTATGCACATGTGTGTGAGTGATACCTGGGTATATCTAGAAACAGATTTTCCCGTGAATAGTGCCATGTTACTATGGCGATTTTAATTTTTTTTTTTTTAAATCTACTTTTTAAAAAAACTTGCATTTCCCAAGTGGCACTGCCAACATTATATAATGTTCAGGGTTTTCTGGGTACAAGGCTTTCATTTGTACCAACAGTTTGTACAGCAAACTTCCTTGGGACAATGACAGGGCTGAGGAGAGTCCCTTCTGGAAAAGCTCTTTGGCCACAGTGCTTTATTTTGATAATCCACATCCCATCAGACCAAGGCCTGGTGGGACTCTAGTACTAAAGAGCAGGAACCCCCTTCCTGTCTCTGGATTACCTTCCCGGATCGGATGAGCAGCCTCTGGGTATTTCAGGACATGGCACTTGACTCTCTGACCTGAGAGTCAGCCATGGTCTGCAGGTCAGCAGCCTGTTCTCCTGTCACATACTCCCTGTCCCCACCCAGGTGACATGCCACTATTTCCAATAAGCCCTCCATATGCCAAGTGTGCTGTATGACCACACATCGCCAGCTGCAGACCCAGAATGTCACATGTCTCGGGAAACACTCTCATCCCTGTGGACAACAAAAGCCCCACACGGCCCCCAGGGACCACATGTCCACTGAAGGCACTAGCCGGGAGGATTCAATGCCTCACTGCGAAGCATGATGGCCAGTTCAGATCCCACTCCTGACAAACTGTATTTCTTCTCATTATTTATTGTCCTCTTTCTTCTCTGGGACATTGTGATCCCCTCTCAGGATTTGTGCCCTTTCATTTCCAGACCTCAGTAACTCCTGAACTGCAGTTTCGTGTGGTTTTGTGATTGTTAACCCAGCATGTGGAAGGGACTCGGGCCATAAATGCTCAATGAATCCTGTGTGGGGAGACCTGGCTGGGGAATGCATTTTCTCCTTCATTTGCAGTCAGAGTACACTCTGCAAGAGCTCTCGCTTTCTCTCTCTCTCTCTCTGCTGTGCAAGATGCAACAGCAGCCAGGCTGTCGGAGAAATGGTGTTTTCCAATCACTTTAGCATAAGAAAGAAGATTTTTCAGGGCCAGCGTGTTCCTTGTCTCCATCAATTATTTGAGCTCCACTAAACAAGGCCGCCTCCCTGTGTGGGATCAACTCGAAGCTCCTCTTGCCCCATCCCTCCTGCACCCTTCCAGCGTGCCCTCTAGGTAGGAAACTGGATTTACCTTGTGGTTTTTGCCGTGCCGGTATACCATCCAGTCTTCCCCATTCGTGCTGACCTCCAGCTTGTAGGATTTGACATAGTAGCCATTCTGGGTTTCCCTGGAAATTGCTCCCTGTGTTGCAATGGCCGTGAGCACCGTTAGAAAGCGCAGGTCCACCTGGGAAGAAAGGAAGAAGAGTCAGGGGACCACCACTCACAACAGGGGGTAGCACCTGGATTTTTTCTGCAAAGGACACAGATATTATACTTGACTCACAAGCTGGCTGCATGATTCACAAGACAGATTTTGTAATTAGTATCAATTTCCACTACATAATTAAACCCAACTTACTTGACACTTTGAAAATGTAGCTTGATTTTTTTTTCTTTCTCTTTCCTTTTTTTTTTTTTGCATGTCTGAATGGATGGTATTTAGTTTCTCCTATCCATTGAACATCTAGAATTATAACCCCCTCCTTATTTAACTATGGTCTGCCTTGGACTGTGAAAGCAGATGCTATTTTAAAGAAGAAATGAGAGGCTGCGGTTGTGGCTCAGCGGTAGAGCACTTGCCTAACATGTATGAGGCACTGGGTTCAATCCTCAGCACCACATAAAAATAAATTAAAAAAAAAATAAAGGCATTGTGTCCATCTACAACTAAAAAAACAAACAAACAAACAAAAAACAAAAAAAGAAATGAATGGCTTAATCCACTCTACTCCAGTCCAGTCCAATTCAATCCAATTTTCTTGGACTGCAAAATACCCTGGTTGCAAAAGTTACAGCTCATAGCTGTCTCTCCTCCCCATACTCCTTTGCTCCATTGTGTCCTTAGTTGCTCAGGTCACCAAAAGGTCAAAGGGCAGGCAGAGTCTGCCCAAGCAATTAGGCTTATGCACCAAGACCTGACCTTTTGCTCTACAAAGAGGATGGTAAACATTTGGAGGTTCCTCTGCTCTCACGAGGCCAAACCCATTTGGAAATTGCTAGATGTTCTTTCTTCGCCAGCCATGTTCTTTCTTAGTGGCAGTCTCCATGTGATCAAAATGTAGCTTGTGCACACTGGTAAAAATTCCACAAGCATCACTGGCTTCTTAATATGTGCACGGCATTATGAAACATTCAAAGGAAGTATGTGGTGCTGTCCATGTGTATGAATAACAGGTGGAGAGCAATAAGAGAAGTATGTGAATAAGGACCAAAAATAAGGAGTACAATCAATGGGCAGGAATACTGCCAATTACAAAGGGAAACTTTCTAGAAGCTTTGCAAGATGAAAGGATTTTTGGAGAGGAAGAAAGGAGAGACAGTGACAAATGGCCTTTGGGTTGTGCTGTCAGAACCTCTGTGGGCTCCCTGGAGTTTCCAAGTGGTCTTTCTCCCTTTCCTGCTGTCTGCTCTGCAGTGTCCTTCTTGGAGCATAGGTCACCGTGTCGCATCAGAGTTAGGACAGGCTTGTCAGTGGGTCACAAGGCTGTCTGTGTATGTCATAAAAGCAGACACTGCTCTGGTATAGAACTAGCAGCTTGCTCTTCCCCTGTTTACTTCTTCCCAGGGGATAAGAACTGGACCAGTCTGCAGAGCAGGAGGAGCACTCAACATGAGCTGCAAGACTTGTTCAGAAAGAAAGCAAACAATAGTCTGAAAAGACGCTGCAGAGCATCTGGGCAACTTGAATTTCCTTCCCCATCGTGACATTTCCCCATGTGTTCTTCTGATAGCTATGTGTAAAACCTTCCTGGCAGGGTTCCTGCCAAACAGCAAAGATCAGGAGAAGTTGTCATATTCAGTCAGCACCCAACAAACCTGCCCTTAGGGAAGTGCCCACCCCCCACCCCAGTCTCTGATACCCATTGTGCCAAGAATGAGGAAGATCTGGAACCATTTCTAGAATGTTCATTGGATACTGCAAACCCCACAGGGCCATCAGCATACTGGTCAAACAACTTCTCCCAGGCCCATTAATCTCCACCAGAGCAAGGACAGGGTCCCTTTTACTCATGGATTTATCCCAGCACATAGCATAGTGCCTGCCGTGCTTTCTGTGCCTGGTTTGGATGAACGGGTGAATGTTGTTATGAAGTAGGCTGTGTTTTCTTCATGTCCTTTGCTCACTGTAGCCGAGGGGCCACCCCACTGCCCTACCAAGACAAACACACGTTGTATGTCCACTGGTATCTGAGTAAGTACCTGGAGATACTCCTTGTTGGAATCCAAGTTGGGGGTCCAGCCATTGTCATCACCGTGGAGTCGGCTCTGTTGAGGGGTCCACCTCCCGTCAGAGTAGGTGGATGAGGCACTGATCTGTTCATTAGCAATCCGGCCAGACTCCATTCCCAGAGGAACATTGCACTGAAAGTCTGGGGAGTGGAGATGGTCAAGAGCAGAGTTAAGCATCCCAAGCTCAAAGCCCTGGGGGGCCCAATATACTGCTCCTTTCTAGGGACAAGTTGTTGCAGGTTTTGATAAAGGATCAACTTAAAGACTCTAATTAAAAACTCCTATTTTAAAAACAACTACACCAAGACACAGAGCTTCACAGACCCTCTGGGTCTGAAAGAAACTAAATTGGACCTAAAAGAAATTAGGGTATGGATAAATAAGAATCATCATACAAATTAAAAATATACTCTAAAACAGAAGAACTGTTACTGCTGCGGGCTACGGATGGTCTCAGATGCCAGATGCACCAATATTGCGATCCAGGTAAATGTGAGATAGACTTCTGGCAATTTGGGTGGGCCGATCCAGTGTGGGAAGCCTGCTTTATTAATAAACACCCAGGAGGCACTTCTGCATCTTTCTCTCTCACCCAACTCTCTCAAGAGTTCTGGCTTACAGACAGATTTTGCAAAGCATCAATATGGGTCTGTGGGACCCTGCTCAGGGAGCACATGCATGTCACACTACATTCCAGGCACCACCTATCTGGGCAAATAGACCCAAGAGTCACTTTCTCTGGCCTTGTGCCATCAATTACATTGTTGTCCTTCCCCTGGATGCTTTGGACACCGACCAATATTTGTGTATGCATATATTTGATAAGCACAAGAAATCATTTTCAGGTATCAAACCTGTTCTTTAGCTCTGTGGCTGGACTAGCCATTTGCAGGACCTGTTATAATTGGCCATACTGTTTCTTGGTCCTGAAATCTTTACAAACTCTTTGATGAAAGAACAAAAGCAAAAAAGCCAGAGCCCAACCCAGGGACTTTTCTGCAGGCCAGACTACAGTGTCCCCGGCTGCATAGGTGGTGAGCTGTCCACAGCTCTCATTATCCTTAAAGCGCTTCTTTCTTCCTTAAAGAGATTGTGTGGTTTTCTAAGTGGAAATGGCCACACGCTGAAGCACATGGCCAAGAACAGCTGATTTGAAGATAGAGCCAGGGCTGGATGCTGATGGCCTGGACACTCCTTGTTGGAATCCAAGTTGGGGGGGAGGGGTCCAGCCAATCCCAGGAGACCTGGGTTAGAGCAATGGTTTCCAATGCTTTGCACAGTGCCTGGCATATAGCACAAACTCTAAAAACTATATTTCTTGGAAGTGTGAAGTGCAAGTTCAAGCAGTTTTGTCATCTAGCCAGGGAATATCTTCTCAGGGACAGAGATGTTTAGTGGTGAAAAACATATATGCAAAAAGAGGTTTAAAATAGCTCAGTTTGGTGACAATGGCCTCGGGGCTTTGGGTGGAAAGAAAATGGTTCCAGACTCAAAATTATGTTAGACCCTATGTAGATTATCCTAGCAATCCTTTTCACTCAGATGAGGGAACTGAGGCTTGAGAGGGTCCTACAACTTTCCCTAAGAGTAACTAATTCTTGGTAAGCACATTTTTTTTTCTTTAAAGAAACTGGCACCCAGATGGACATTGGCTCTTTTTGAGGGGGGAGTGGTACTGGGGATTGAACTCAGGAGCATTAGACCCCTGAGCCACATCCCCAGCCCTATTTTGTATTTTATTTAGAGACAGGGTCTCACTGAGTTGCTTAGCACCTCATTTTTGCTGAGGCTGGCTTTGAACTTGTGATCCTCCAGCCTCAGCCTCCTGAACTGCTGGGATTACAGGTGTGCACCATGGCACCCAGCTTTGACGTTGGCTCTTTGCTCATGCATCTGCCTGACATGGGGATGTGGTTCCCATTCCTTGAACTCAGATGCCACAGAAAATCCTGCGGAGTTCCTATTTCCTTCTCTCTCAGAGGCCAGTTCCTTCACCTGTCCCCCCTTATAGCCCTGATGCAAGGACACACAGAAGTTCTCAACTGTCCAACTCACTCTCTAGTGGCTCCTGGTGAACCAGGTAGTATCGTGCGGAGAAGCCATCCTTGGCCACCGCCATGTCCGTGTGAAAGGTCAGGGATAAGATCCCCGTTGATGAGCGGAGTTCGGAAGGTGTTTTGGTCCCACAGTACTTGCCAATCAGGGGGCCAACTGGACACACAAGACAAAAAGAGGTCAGAGGAGATGAGAATATCAAACTTGATTTCCCACACATTCCCCTTCCCACTGCCACATGCCATTTCATCCAGCATCACTTTGTATCCCTTGGCAGAAGAACCAAAGAGGTGTTTTAAGAGCAATGTCTAATAGTTTTCCTACATGCTAAAAAGGACTTTCAGTGAGATGGCTTCATTCTATTCCCACAGCCCCAGAGATGGGCCGGAAAGGTATCATTACAATGCCTGCTCTGCAGAAGGAGAAATTGAGTTTCAGAGGTCATGTAACGATTCCTTGTTCACACTGCTGGGAAATAGAGCAGAGACTCCAACCCAGCTAGCTTCCCAACTAGATTTTGTGCTTTTCCCAAGAGTTAAAATTGTTCTTGCTTAGTCATCAAGTATCCCTTATAATGGAAAAATCCTTAGAATAATTACAAAAGTACTGACTTCTATGTTGGCCTTCACTTGAGGCAGACAGATTCCTCTTGGCTTTGAGTGATGCACCTTTCCAACATCTACGATTATTTAGTAATAATAAAATTATAGTAGTAATAACGATGATGACAGCAGCTAACTTACATAGCTAAAACACAGATAGGTGAAGAAATGTGCCAAGGTTGCACAGGACCAGGATACAAGCACAGTCGGTCTGGATCCAGAGTTCTATTTGGTCCCAGGGTTTGGCTGTTGAGTCACTTCCTATCCTGACAACTAGGTGTGGAAAATGATCTCACCTATAGGTTTTGCCATCTGCTCCCAAGTACTCACTCAACCTCCTACCCTCTTTCAAAGAAAATGTCTACACCTCCAGAGAAAGTTGACCACCTGTCGGTAATTTTATTAAAACCATCCTTGGTGAAGGAGAAGCCAAGAAATGGGTCACAAAGAACTCTAAGGAGCCCTGAAGTCTTTGTTTTCTCCTTTTATCATGACTAGAGCAATCCAGAGGCAAAGACCCAGTGACAGAGTAGTGCCCTGTGGCAGTGATGTCACTCACCGTGGGGAATGCCGTCCCAGATGTCCAGCCAGTCATACTTGCAGTCTCCCTCTCCCACCTGCAAAGGGTCATGCTCCAGGTCAAAGGTCAGGAACTGCAGGATGATCTCCATCTTGGGTTTGGCCAGGATGGTAAAGGTGCAGTCCAAGTTGTGTGGGTACTTCTCAGGAAAGCCAGGAGATTCGATGGTCCCATTAGGGCTGGTGAAGTTTTTTGAACAATCTTCAGAGCCTGGGTGTCAAAGAGAATTTGGAGCATTAAGAAGAAGAAGGCTTTCTTTGCTGCCTCTGTCACATGAGTTATTTAAATGTTTGGACCCCAATTCACCTACTCACAAGGTGAGGTTTTTCTTCCTACTCAAATAGCCCTTGGAGAAACATACTCTATCCATCCACATTTCAAGGCCTGGAGCCAGAGCCTCTTTAGGACGGAACTTGCTTTATATATTAGAGTAAGAGCAGCAATTGAGGATTTGGGGAGAGAAGTGTGTGTGTGTGTGTGTGTGTGTGTGTGTGTGTGTGTG